AAAAAAAACTATGGTAGAGGAAGTGTAAATTCAATTGTGTGTTATGGGAGCTATAGGGAACCTTTAATTCCATATTGTCATGCTGCAAAACCACTTTCCTGGGCCTAGCCTCATAAAACACTCCACTCAAAGCAAAACATTAAATACAAAAAATCTAAATAAAAAAAAAAAACATTTTTGCTGCTGTTCTTGTTATGGTTCCTAACATGCCAATCTGTCCTAAGTGATGACCTATATTTCAAGTCAAAACTATAGCTGGTGTGATGCCTTTATGTCTGCAGTTAAAAAACAAGGATTGTGACCTGGTTGATACCATCAAGTGTATTTTGTCTTAAGTACTGTAAGCTGATTTTGATCTCCTGTAACTGCTGCTAACTGCTTAGTCCTCAGAGTGGATTTGTAAGATAACGAGATAGTGGGAGATCAGCAGGCGTCTTTTGCTGTGAAAACAAGATCTTGTTTTGCTATGCCTTTTGAAATGCCAGATCTATAAAGGGGAACCAGAGCTGTTGTACTACGATTTTAAGATAAGCGCCTAAAAAAACAGCAAAACTTAACAGTTTTATTTTGTGTTATTCATCCAGGCATACAAGCATACCCAAACTTCTTTTATTTTAATTAAAAGAAACCACTTTCATTGTCTATTAATATTCTTGAAATGGTGCAATTTTCGACAGTCATTCATTGGTAACTTTAACATCACTTTCTGTTTTTGTTACGAAGTTTCCAGTGTCAGGACGGTTTAGCCTTCTGACATCTTCCAGGAGAGTCTAGCTGGTTTCTCAAAGGGGGTGGAGGTTAGTGAAGGCTGTACAGGGTAAAAAATCATGGTACCTGTTACAAAGAGACCTCTGCTGCCAGGGGCATTTGAAGTTAGATAATTAGCCTGCAATGACACAACGGACACGGTTAATATGAACCAGAGAGACAGAGGATGGGTTACAAGAACCTATCCAACATATTTCATGAGCTGCGGAAATTGAGCATATCATTCTTTGTGCAGGTGCCTGCACTACATCATTCATATAGGGTGCCGAATGTCCTAGGTCTCATCTCAGATCAAGCGCTTGCTCCCATAACGGAACACCTCATTTAATTATGATCGGCCATTGTCTTCGTGAAGCGTTGATTTTCACAGGATGTGATGGCCGAAAATGTTCACCTCGTCCGTGCAATAGGGAAGAAAAACCTCTTGGGGTTCTTGTTCCCTGCAGGCTTGACGATGTCACCTTCCTCCTTCTCATCCTGCCTAGCCTCTTTCTGCTTTTGCAGTTTCTGCTCATGAATCATTCTATTCTAACAGTGGGGATAGTGCATCTCAGTGCCTGGCCCAATCAGATGCCCTGCCTGGTACAGAGTTGCCCGTCTGGGCTGTGCCAACACTGTTGTATCATCCTTCATGATTCTGTAGATGGAGCACAGCCAACTAGGGCTCGCAGTATTCCTGGTATTCTCTGGTGAAATAATTGAAGAAGATATGTTTTAGTCAGTGGACGTGCCTTACTGCATTGTGAGCATGTGAAACAAAAGATACAGATGTTGTTGTAAATTGTAGATTCAAAGCTCCATCGCAAAGCGATTTTGACATTTTCACTTCCTTCCCCTCGCGGGTGGTTTCAAAATACTCTTTTCTCTGAAAGGCAAATCTACCACCTACGACAGGTTTCATAACAAACAGCTGGGGGGAAGGTTTCTTAAACGTTTACTCTTATTGAACTTGTTAGCGTGAGATGGTATATTGGATTCATCATCCAGTTTGTGAGTAAAACCTTTCTTGGAAAAGAAGGTGTAAGAACAGGGAATGTCTTAATCTTCTGTTCAGGTGCAAATGTTCAAGTGCATATTTTCGCTAGCAATGAACTGAGCTGACAGTATTGTTAATTTTGTGTGGGAGACAGACAGAAGATCACGAGCTTGCATTTCCAGAACAGGTGACTTCACAGCTGAATGACTGACTCTGTGTCAAAACAAATGAATGTGGCCAAAATAACAAAACAGTGGTGACAGCATTGAGTTCTAAGTAAGATTCTGTACTCATAACTGAAGGACAATGGTGTTGTGGAATTGGGAGAGGTACCCTGGTTGCTCCAGTCCACCCAGCAGTAAACACGCTGGACCCCCAACACTAAGTGGGGAACACCAATGAGGAATGGATCAGCATTGTTTCGGCAGGGTCACATGATCTCAGTCTGCTTAATGCTATAACGGGAATCTCCAGCCCTAATCCTATAGAGGCCTGATCCAGCAGCTATTGTAGGTCACTATTAAATCGCCTATTTTCACAGAATTATTTAATTGTGATCAATGCTTTGAGTAATAAGAGTAACTTGGAGAACATTCAGAACTAAAATCGAACTATGCTTCAGCTCTCAAGGACCAGAGTTCTCTTGATTAAAGAGACCACTTCCTTGATTCATCTTACAGGTGTTGCTAGTCTTTAGATAAGGGGACTCTGAGACTAACTGGACTGGGGTTCTCCAGGCAGGCCTAGATTTTGGTGTTTGTAGGCCTTTGGCACTTTCACTCCGAAATGTGGAAAAAGAGGGGTAAACGTCAATTGAATGACATCAATTGACATGATGCACTTTAAACTACTCTAAAGCTAAACCGTGTGACTGATGGAGCGAGTCGTGCGCCCATCACTTCGATCCTTCTAGTTTCTAGAACAGCCGCTGGATAGCGTGTGTTTATTGATTTGGATCACTCAGAGTCGATCGCAAGCACGTTGTTTCACCTCGTTTTTCGTTAGTCACTAGTGTTTCCCTCCTTCGTGGGCCCTAGAAAATCCGTAGGCCCCTAGGCATGTGTCTACAGTGCCTCATGGGAAATCCGGCACTGCCTCCAGGACCAGAGCTGGAGCCTGAGATAAACAAGATGAACTCTGGCCCAATGAGCTAGGGAATGCGCATGTTGAAGTGAAGTAAGAAAGAGAGAGAAAAGGGGACCATGGAGGTAGTCTGGAATGTAATTGAAAACACCTGCACCCGTTGCACGGAGTGGGTGAGCAGAAAGATCAAGTCTGATCAAGTTGTGAGAAGATGACCTCTGATGACCCGAAGACGGGAAGATGTTCATTTGGTCCTCCCCAAGAGGGGAGCAACGAGAAAGAACGAGGATCCCAGACTTGGTTCCAAATTGAGTCCAACAGTGAGGAGTGAGCGAAAAAGTGAGGCGGCGTGCTGGCACTGCAGAGATGGTGGGGGGAGTCTGGTTGGGGATGGGCGAGTGTGGTCGACCACATAACAGACTCGCACAGTGTCACCGGGCTGGAAAACACCGCAGTAAAGCAAACCAGAAGGTGCCAATGTCATGCAATTTCACCATCCTTAGAAGGAAAGGCACCACTGAGCCCAGCGCACTGCTCAGTACGCTGAGAGGCCGTCATGCGCTTCTTGTTCCTCTCTGCCTCTGAAGAAGGGGCGAGTCCTGCAGTCTTCACTCCCACGCCTCTTGGCGATACTGTGGGCAGCAGGAAGGGAAGCTCGGGTGGCGACGAGATATTCTAAATGTGACTAAAAAGGGCAAGACTGGCACAACCACACGCAGCTGGAAAGCAGATCTGGAAAGAACCGAAACTATTGCTGGTGTCATAAACAAATGATTGGTAGGGAAATGCTACCACGTTATACAACTTGAAATGGGAAGTTTTAGCTGAAAGTTTGCTGAGAATAACTTCTTTACTCTCGTTTAGAGGGTCATCAGGCTGTACTGTAGGTCCACACAGACTGAAAGCACATGAGATTCCCCTAGATGGGACATTGGTCTTTCATCCAGTTACTCTCAGTGATGCCTAATTAGTCTTTAAATCTGGATGGGCAGGTGCAACAGGAATCATGCACTTTTGCACACATGTGCTGTAGTAGACGCCGCTGTCGTGCAGGGACTTGAACCCACCATTTTCCAGGTGAAAGGGGGGCGTGTCTTAGTGGGTTTTCTCTGGACCCATGACTGGTGAGCTGTGGGTTTGAATCCCTGCTGCAGACTCTGCTGTACTTTGAATGACGTCCTTCACCTCAGTGGGCCTTGTCCAACCAGCTGCCTATAAGAGGGAACCAGTGCTTGCAGGGGCTACTCTCTGTGATGGGCTGGGAACCCAATCCAGGTACGACTACTCTTTGTTCACTTAATGCCGTGGAAACCAAGATAAGCTCTGGATCAATGGACCATTGTGGCTCAGTTACAGAACTGCCTGCCTTCCAGGTGACAGTCCAGAGCCCTGAACAGTTCTACAGCCCTACAGTTCCCTGCACGGCTCGGATGGTAACTCCACAAAGCAGCTGCTGCACTTTCACCAAAGCAGATTCAGCGCATCTTAAAACGGAAAAAACAGAATTCCAACAGAAGCTGCGTCCCCAATTCCAAGTCCGTGAACCGGTTGTCCATCGGCAAAATCTCGTAAACCTATTTTTCCCCGTTTCGTTACAAGAACTGTTCCCAACTGGGTTATTTCATCAATAAAAGCATTCCTCACATCCTTTCCCAAAAACCCAAAGCAGTAATATTTTACCCGAGCGAAACTTCAGTTCGGGATAAAGCGTCTAGGGTTTGTTGGCCTTCTTGGGTTGAAAATTATTTCGGTGAAAGTCAAGTATGAAGCAGCTGTGTTATTCTCCCCACATCAAATGTAGAGTTCCGCATTTCCGTGAGGTGTCTGATTCTTTCATTGTGCCTGAAAGAGAATTTTAGGGGATTTCAATGAGATATGGCCAGAAGAGGAAACTAGGATGAATGTCATACCAAAGTTTTACTCCAAAAGGACTCTGGAGGATAGAGTATTTATTATGTTTTGTTTTCATGGTCGATTTTTTTTACCCAGGCTATAATCCACAAACCTGTGGTGCAGGAAAAGCCCACACTATGGGCTGGTAACGTTTTGATCATTCACTTACGCTCCTTGATGCTGAACTCCACTGCTTCTGCAACAGGGTTTCACTGCTTAAAAGTCAGCTGGGGCTGTTCCAGCCTACAGCAAGTCTTTATCTTTAACGTCGGTCGCCCTGAAACTAGTTCTCGGCAGCAGTAACCACAGGACGCAGCTCGGCTCAGATGTATGAACGCGGAAATGAGGAAACCAAGTGTGGTCTGCTAAAGGGGTTAAATGCTAAAGTGAAAATCATTTAAGCTCCAGAAAAGAAGCTCGAGATCTTGCCAGCACCAACATGAGCCTCCGAAAGCTAAGTAAGTCGTGTTTGTTAATAAACCATTCTATTTTTTTCGGTGTCCTAAAGGACAGCAGCATGGCCGATGTTGTAGGTGCCCAAGATGCAGTGAAACCGTTGTCCAGTTTGAGAAAGGGCTGGTGCAGACAACGGGTATGACAATTTCAAGGTTGGAGCACATCGGTGATGAAAAACCCTTTTTTTTATTTATTTTGAGCGGTTTGTTGGGCACGTTTGTGAAAACTTACCATGAGCGGGGATCAAACAATCCGTTATGTGTGAACTTTCCACTCTGACAAAAAAGTATGCTGAGAATGTCAGGGTGATAATGCTGCAAACATTATAGGGTGTTTTCAGAATGGGCTATATTATAGCACTGTAAATCTATTTGAGGGTGGTAACTGTTAAAGTTCTCTACATTAAATACAATTGAACAATAACACAAAGATCCATGATGCCAAAGCATTTATTTTTTAGTTCAACCTTTAACCTGTCAGAATATATGTACTTATCCTTATATGTATGAACATGTATGTGTGAACACAGAGATGAATGTGTATGATTTCAAATTAAATTAAATCAGTACAGATCACTACACAAAAAGCTGTCCTTCTGCATCCTAAGCTGCCCTGTAGTGTAAATTGCTTCTCAGTTCATTAGATTTCTGGGTACACTTTTTTTTCTTTTCTTTTGGCTTCGTTTTTTTTGGTTCTTGTCCTGGGAGGATGTCCCTCTCTGACCATTCCTTGTGATTGCTCGGCCACATTGCTCTGCTGGAATCAGAATGTCTTTTCAGCACACGTCTCCATGTCCCTCGGTTTTGCTGAAGAGCAGTCTTCCTTCATGTCTGAATGCTCTGGTTATTAACCTCAGCCTGCCCTGCACTGCCCCAGATCTACTGCAATAACTGGAGCCTGACAGAGAAACTATATACAGTACATGTTTCCTGAGCCAGCAGTTCTCCACTCTGGTCCTGTGAGACACCTGTATTTCTATTTGATCCCATTAACCAAACGTCATGCTTGATGAGTTCCTTTAAACCTACATCTAGCAAGAATTTAGCAGGTACAGCCTCCACCCTACCTCCAACTGAAGTGCTTGCTCCCCCTTATTGCAGTCTAGACAGGCTTTCAACTGGAGACCAGTTGTTGATGTCCACTTGCAGACTGGAATGAATCTGTATCAGACACTCCCATGATCATCATTCTCTGTTCCTCAGGAGTCCGGTAGGTTTAATTCCACATGCCTGAGGAAGGGGGTGTCTGAAACTCAGAAACTGTTGCAGGCTTAGGACAAATCTTTATCCCCGTTCCACTTTTTAAGATCTATGAGGATTTTCTTTAAAAGACATGTCTTGACAGGCAAGTTTGAATGAATTTTGTAAGGGTGGCAATGGTGTGTCTGCGTTATCTGTTATCATACCACCTCATTTCTTAATGACCTAAATCAACAATTTATTGACTTAATTGGGCATATTTATCACATCCTTCCATCTCTTCAGATGTCCTAGAGATCTAGAAGACCTGCAGACACACTGTCCTTCCTGGACCAGAGTTGGGACATCTCTTATTGAGCCTGGGGCACCCATTCCTGGTTTTGAAGGGTCTATGGATTTTCTGGGTTTCTTAAAAGCAGCTGCACCTAAAGATGGAAAATTAAGTTACTAACGAGCTGGTTAAGCTCATTAAGAGCTGGAATGAAAACTTGCAAGTTTATCAGCCCTGTAGCACACGAATTGGACCTAAGTGGCCTAAGTGATTAGGAACCAATTTGTAATGAAAAACAGAAATGTCAGGCTCTATCACGACCAAGGTTGAGAACTACAGCACTATGCTTAGATCGTCTTATTAACTGTACTTTTAATAAAGATACACTATTGTAGCATACAATAGTGAAGCACTGTCACATTATCGCAGAGGAATCATTTTGACACATGGGAAAAACCAGTGAGACAATGTGAAACCTTGTTGTGATGCATTTTGAGCTTGGGGAAAAAGTGAGGTAGTGTACAGTGAAACACTGGCAAAGAGTTTATTAGGGTAATCCATTTGAACATTTAATCCAGAAGAGGAAAACATACTGAGGATGTTAGAATTCATTTCACAATCAAAAATGATCTGTTACAGTGAGCCTGCAGCAAAGCGCTATTTTGGTAGGTGTTAAAACATTCCTGGATTCGAATAATTATTACTATCATTTTGTAGATGAGTCTCATCTGGGACATCTTTCAGTCGTATGGTGTGGTCGAAGACGTTCCAAATCGTTCTGTTAAAGAAAATAGGTTAAAAAAAAACATCAAATAAACACCCAGGTTTTCCCCCCGCTAGTTTGAATGAACATTTTCCACAACACAAAACATCAGGATTTGCTAAAGGAGAACCTCTGAAAACTCGAAAACGAGGACTGATCATTCAGCACATCGATCACATGATCACAGCGTTCCAGACTACAGTTCATTCGCTGTAACTGTTTCTTCTGTTTCTGTCACGGTCGTAATCTCTCCTCTTAAGGGCTCTCCCACTCTTTCTTATTTTGCTGATTACATGCACCTGCCCCTGATCCTGCCCCTCCTTATTTAAGCCTGGCGCTCTCTCTATGCCGGGCTCAGCATTGGGTTCAGGAGAGACCTGATGGCACAGGCTTCATCACGGCGACCTGACCATTTGAGTCCGGGGCTCAGAGCGCCTGGCCTCGTCATACTGTTTACTGTCTCTGTACCAGATCCTGTTCCAGTTGTCTCGTCTTGGATGGATCACCCGGTTTTGGACTTTTGGACTTTCCCCTCTGGACTCCTTGGTCTAGTTCTTCCTTGGCCACGCCCCCCCCCGAGCACCAGTTCACCATCGTCATGCCCCCCCCGTCTGTCAACCCCTCCTGATCCTCATCGTCTCCTCCCTGTTGTCCTACTCCACTTACTTTCCCGATTATATCGTCTGCATAGGGTCCAGAACTACGCTTCATGGGAGCCTGGACCGGCTCCCGTTACAGTTTCAAGCCTTTTTTCACTTTTGATGCTCCTTAATTGATTTTGCTCTCCTGTTCTGTGCAGCCTCGTCTTCCTGCAAGAATAATTATTTAAAATGCGTCCCAGTGATGTCCCCTCTGTTCAAATAGCTGTGCCCATTCTATAGTCTCAAAACCTCAGTTCCAGTTGGTGAAACGGTTGTCCTGAAAGTCTTTGCTGCTCAATGTTGGTGGTCAAGAAGGACTCTAAATCTGACAATATTCTGATCACTTGATCCTTCTGTCCTGGTCATTACAAACAACAAGATCAAGAAATATACTGTATTTATCCTCTTTTCGATATTAGTGCACAGTGTTATAAAATAGCTGGTTTCTGACTTCTGGAACTAAGTTTACTAAGCACATCTTTCCCTTTGGTACTACCAATCCCAATGTTGTCATAGAAATAGCTACTAATGGTCTGATCCTAGTGGTCTGTAGCATACTCCTATGGAGAAACCCTTATCGTATAACTCCATCAGGTTTACTCATACAGTTTGATGTGATGGTAGCCATAGTGCGCCAGTCGGCTCCCCACACACCAGCTCTCAGTGGGAAGGAGAGCAGAGTGGTGAAGCCAGTTTAGAGATGGGGATTATTAGGAGGCCATGATTGGTAAAGGCCAATGGGAAATTTGGCCAGGATGCTGGGGTAACACCTCTACTCTTTTCAAGAAACTCCCTGGGATTTTTAATGACCAAAGAGAGTCAGGACCTCAGTTTTACGTCCCATCCGAAGGGCAGCACCTTTTTACAGTATAGTGTCCCCGTCACTATACTAGGGCATCAGGAGCCACGTAGACTGCAGGGTGAGCGCCCCCTGCTGGCCATTTTAACACCTCTTCCAGCGGCAACCATAGTTTTTCCCAGGAGGTCTCCCATCCAGGTACTGACCAGGCTCACACCTGCTGAGCTTCAGTGGGTTGCCAGTGGTGAGTTGCAGGGTGACATGGCCGCTGGCAGTATAGGTGTAGGGTAGGACACCGTTTGTCACAGCAATGTGCAGCGAGCATGAGAAACCCTAGTATTGGTCTTTCCTACTGGGTCTGTGAAAATGGAAATCTCTTGTCAGGTCAAACGCAAACTGTTTCTCGATGTCTAGATGTAAATGAAGTTATTTTGAGTGGCCAGAGGTGCTTTTTTATGCTAAAAATGTGGAACCAGATGTTTTGAGCTACACCAGCCCCACTGGTCTGGGTTCTCTTTGAAAGTTTGTGTCAGCTCTCTCTGTGTGCCGTTTGCATAAACCACAGTGTTAACTTAGTGCATTTTTAGTCCCCAGATGCAAATCCAGATTAACGCCTTCTGTGGCCGTGTGATCTAGCCTGGAAATACCAAAGCTGGTTTCACACGAACTGTGTGGTTTGGTTTGTTTTTGCAGAACTGAGCTGTTATAAAGGGGGCTCTTAAAGTGTGAGAACGCCCCAAAAAATAGTACACTAAGAAAAGACCAGGGTGTTGGGTATGACTGCGATAAAGCTGTATGTGTGTAAAGTTAACTATTTGCAAAAGGTAAAGAAGATGTCTGCAATCAGAGCAGCATTTCAAAACAGGCAAGTGCAATTTTCTGTCTGGTCTTTGTGTTCGCCCATGTACGTCCAGGAAGGTTTGTAAATGATTACAAGCATGCCAGTTTGAATCCCAGCTGTGCTACTGGAGTGCATTGTGTAACAGCTCTGTGCCTCCGGATTTGGAGACATAAAACGAAACATTTGAAAGAAGGGAAAATACTCTATAGACTCTCAAATTTTTAAAAGATAGAACAATTGGGTGATGTTGGATTAGATTTGTGCTGAGGCAGAGAGATAGACACCTGTTGTGTGGAATGGTTGCGGATAGAGTATGTAATATTTCAGAGCACGTGGAAGTCAGGGACAGTGAATTGAGAATGAAAGGGATGATTGAACTATGTATGGCAGTTTTTATGTGGGTTCTAAATAAATATGCAAAAGTCTTTCTCTCCTAAACAGGACGTCTATTGTAACAGAAGAGATTGATTGGGGTTGTACTCAAATTA